CCCCAAAACCCCAAAACCCCAAAACCCCAAAACCCCTCTTCAGTTAAATAATAATTTAAGAAAATCAATAGGTAAGGTGGTTGTGGACTTTGATGTACTTTCACCTAATGCTTCTGTAAGATCTTGGGCTAGTATCCAGCTGGAGTTTATCATATTAAGCAAATATTTGAGATTTAAACCTAATGTCTGTAATATAATACTCAAAACAGTTCCTAGCTGGTTTTAAAGGAGAAATGCCAACTCTGGTTACCCTTTAGCATAGAAATTTCTTCTCAAAATTTTTAACCTTTGGTTTTAAGCAAATTATAAAATCTTGCTTCAACCACTCTTAAGACTGTTAGTTTGATATTGTCTACATTGAGGCTAGAGAATGTTCTATTATCCTTAAACTTAGAGGCTTTCATAGAACTTTTAATCTAAAGACACAACCCTACAACATTTGACCTTAAAGGCTAGGATACTCTATATATTGATATTAGGACTCTTTGTTTTTATAAAAAGGAAGCAGCATATCGTTATTACAATACATCCTAGGATTGGAGCCTATCATAGTAGACCAATATTTAGTCCGATCAGATAAAATATTGAGTTTTGAGAAACAAACTGCATCCTCACTAAGAAGCATATTTATCGTTAATTTGTAGATATTCTTTGTTAAGAGTAAAACTCCAGGCGAGTTTACCTTTGACAGAATTAATAAATACTTTATAGGCACAAGAATGTCCTTTGAAAGCATTGATGTCCCAAACAGTTCGCATGAAAGGGTGGTAATACCATCCAATTCAACACTCAGCGGGTTTTTACGGAATTGATACCTGGTTAACAATGTTCCAGTGCTGGTCAATCTTATCAAAAAGAAAGACTTTGATACAATAATACACGATTGAAGTTGAATCTTATCAAATTATTTCACTATAAGATCAAATTTAGCAAAAGGAAAGATCCATAAATCAGAAAAATTAACGTTCCTCTTTAGCTCAAGTTGCTGAATAGCTTTTCTCATAATGTAAGTTTCCACTCCAGATTTGCCCGTTACTTGGCCATGGCTCTAACTCCCTATAGGTCATACTATCTGCCAAGATGGGACGATAATATCACTTACCTTATAATTTGGGCTGTTTTGCTCTCGATCACGATCCTGGTACCCATTGGGCTGATGGTTGTCAACACCTATTTCAAAAGCAACGACCCTCAGGACATTCACGAGAAGATGATTCACGAACTAGAGACTTACATTGAGAAGGCCAATCACAATCATTTAGATCCAGAAAAATGAGTCCTTATGCTGAACCACAGGTCTGACAAGAAAGGTAGGACTTTTTCTCACTTTGTATAGGCCTATATCTCTCCTTCGAAATTATGGATGGAGCTCCAGTTGAGAGCTCTGGACCAGCCAGGATTGACACCGAGCCATTACAGACCCACGGAAGACTGAGAGGCTCCAACTCTTCAGAGCCTGAAAATGTCTACTTTGAGTAAGCTCAACTGTTTAATAACTAATTAGGGACGAAATCTCAAGTTTTATTGAGGAAAAATAAGGCTGAACAACCCCAGTTAAGAACTAAGAAGAAGAAATTTGGAAGATCCCCTGAAAAAAGCAAAGAAATCAGAGTCAGCTCTGAAATTGAAGAGAACTTTGAAGACATCAACGAGTCAAGTGAGATAGAGTAGAGATACACCTAAAGATTACGATCCCTAGCAGCCATTATGAGTGATAGCAATTAAAAATTCATTTGTAGAACTAAGGCCGGGGTTTTGGGGTTTTGGGGTTTTGGGGTTTTGGGG